GGGCAACCATGTCAATGGCTGGTTTATGTTGGGATGTTACCATAGCATCCTCAAGACTTTTACAACATATTTTTTAAAAAAGTCCAAAGATTTCAAAGGAATGCTTGAAAGTTTCTGATCTCTGGCGGGTTGCCCAACTGTAATTACCCAGCAGACAATACTGAGAAAGCTGTCTCTGTTCAGGGAAGCAGCACCTGAGCACTAGCATTCCTGACACATCCTTCTCAGAGAAAGAACATTGGCTTTGTTGTTGCAGAGGCCTCCTTCATCTTCTCTCTGTTATTCATGTGTACATGCCCACCCTACAAGCAAGGAGCAAGTCAGCTGCAAGGCACATCTTTCCCATTCCTTGGCATCTTGAGAAGATTCCTGTCTGGTTTGGCTCCTGCAGAACATGTAAAGGCAAGGTCTCTTAAGCATGGATGGTTTTGAACATGTTTTTTTTACTGATGCCCGTAGTGCTTTAAAGGCCCCTCAGAAGTTTTGAAGTTAGCCTGGACCCTGCCTCCACTCCCCTTACATTCCCTACCACAGTCTCCCACCAATGGGACGTGAAAGGCAACTATTGCTATTAAAGGGAGTGCCTATCAAGCCCACAAAACCTTTGAGCAAAATGCAAGCATTCGAAGTATATTAGAGTACTAACAAGGGCTTTAGTTTTAATTGCTAGTGCAAGTAGACAGGTTAGGAATTGTGACCATGGTAACATCAGCTTAATGTGCTAATTTGCTTGTCTTGAGTGGTTTTAAGGAGAACCAAGCAGTGTGAAGCCTCTTGCTTCATTTGACAGCTAACTTGGGGCACATTTTTTTGCTTTTAAAGGGACACACCTGTTGGCAGCCCTTGTGCCAGGAAAATGTGTGTGTACGTGTGTGCACATATACAGTGGATAAATATTCCCTGTATACTACTGCACAAGTTGAACAGAAGCAGTTGTAATTTTTCTTTGAAACCAATAAATGTTGACTTGGTTTAACAGTTGCGAGTTCAATAAAATAAGTTATTTTGCAAGACACTGATACAGAAGGGAATATGGGTGATGAAGATGTAAGGCAAATGGCTATTGGCAGTATGTGTGGGATCACATTAACCCCTAGATGTTCTGGGTGAGAGACGTGAGCTACAGTAGATCACCCACACCAATTTCAGTGGAAATTAGTATGGTAATGTAATTAATATGTTATAGTATGTAGCTTTTGCTGCTAGACATACAGAGAGTGCTTGAGGATTTTCTGGTCAGAGCTGGAGAGCATTTTTGGTAATGCATTAATAATGAGCAATGTACTGAACTACTTTTCTGGGGTGCAGAACAATAATGACCTGATGCTTTTTGGCAAAGTAGCACAGTGAGTTCCTTTTTAAACTTAATGTTCCAAGCTCTGAATATGGTGTTTGGTCATTTGTTATATACTTAAAGGTGACTACAAAGACAGCATTAGATACTTACAGTTACAAGAATATGACTTCTAGAGTGCTTTGCAAAATACTGAAGGCAGCAAATGTGATCACTTTTTGGTGATGGAAAATTCATGGGTAAAAATTCCCAAATTACAGTGGACCCTTGACTTACAGACGGCTTGACTTACAGACTTTTTGAGTTACAGACTTCTCTGGCCGCAAAATTTAGGTTTGACTTGCAGACTGAGATTTGACTTACAGACCAGAAAAAAACCAAAATGAAATAAAAACGGCATGTTACGGGATTAATCAGTTTTCAATGCACTGTAGGTCAATGGAGACTTGACTTACAGACTTTTTGACTTGAGAACCGCCTTCCAATACGTATTAAGTTCTCAAGTCAAGATCCCACTGTACAATTTCATTTTTTATATTTCTTTTCAAAATCTACTTTTATTTATAAAAGAATTGAGATACAACACTGTCTGATCTTGTCCTAGCCATTAGTTAGAAGCACCCTTTGAAGTTTGTAGTCATCACTTCCTTTTCCCCATCTTTCATAAGATCACCTTCCCTTTTGTTTTAAAAGCTAATTGCAGTTGTATTTATGCAGGTGTCTTTGTTAACGTGTGCAGTGTTCTTGTAGGGCTGTCTTTAGATAAAGATAGAGATAGTCAATGCAAAGTTATTTCACCATATACCTTAGTAATAGGCATTGTAACAGCTCTCTGAAAAGAATTCTACAAAGTCTTGATCATAGAAATAAAAAGAAATCAATAGGAAAGTTGAGATTATTGAATGGCTTTGTTTGCTATCTCTTTTTAAACAGATTGCTATACCTTTTTAAATTCAGAGTGATATGCTGCACATATTTTTGAGTTTCAATCTGAAACTTGGGGAAAATATAGCTTTTTATTGACACAAGTGGGCTTTGGACCAGGATTTTGCACCATTGTAGTTTGATTCTTGCGGTCTATTTATCAGGTCATCATTTTCTGTGTCACAACTCATGTATTCCTCTGACTTGTACAACAAAGACAGAATCTGATAATGATAAAATAATATATATATATTTTCCAGCATATTTTGCTGAAAGTAGCAGATATTTGAAAGAAAAAAATTAAAATCTCGATTGTGCCTTTAAAAAATTACTGTTGTGATGCTTACAGCAGTTTGGTTGTTTGTCTCAATCATCTACTGGATTCTTTACATTTTGTGGGTATTTTGGTATTCTTACTTAGCATGGTGGGTGTACAGGCTGAAATGCTTAACCTTGTGAATTTTTGGTAACTTCCTGGAACACTGAGTAGTTAGAATTTTTTAAGGTGTTGAGGCGAGTACCAGGCAGTAAGATTTTCCCGAGCCATCAGTATATCTGGACTTCCTGGAATTTACTCACACCAGGAAAGTTGTCAGTGTAACTGAGTAGTTAATATGGACCTCTCCGACCCAGCCATAATCTTTGATACTGTGCCTAATCATTATGTCTAAATAAAAGGCTTTCCTTGACTCCAGGAAGAAAAATAACTTCAATTTAATTGAACTTGACATTTTGATATGAATTCTATTCTGGAAAATTCCAGAACAGTTCAAAGTTCGTTCTAGAGAATTAACTTGTAATCAGACATTTGGCGTGTCTAATGCTGCTGAACAGATCCTGGTCAATGAACTGTTAAAGGACTAAGAAGGTCTCATGATGGCTAGTAGATTTTGGTTTCTGTAGAGAAGATCTGTGTAGTCAAGAAGAAGCACAAATCTTTTCATTAATTCTCTCACAGGAGATTTAGTAAGCTGTTGTCCCAGGGAAATATCTCATGATTTCACTGGAGGACTCAAAATATTTTCCAAGCTTAAAAACAGCACAAGGACATAAACAGATAAATCCAGTTTTAAGGCACCACTTATTGTGCCTCTGATTTCCCTTTTTATGTGTATCAGTGTTGCTGTTTAATTTGCATGTTGAACTTTATAGCATTTTAGAAGGTTACTTTTAAGTGTTCGTGAAACTTGATATTTCTGACTTCTAAGACTTTGAAAAGAAACAAAGGAACTGCATCAGATACCAAAAAGCTTATTAAATAACATTACCCTTCAGTGCTCACAGCTCAGATATGGAAGCTTTATAAAAGAACAAGAGACGCTGGAAGTAAAATTGTCCGGTTACCAGATGGCCCTTATTTCAAAGGGTTGTTCCTAACTCACAAACATCACAGCTCTGCAGAACATAGCATATGTGCCTCATTTTGAATGTTATAGTTTTCTACACAGATAACCCAACTTCAAAGACTCCCCTATTTTGGATTTTTTAAAAATTTATTTTGACATTTGTCATTGTGCTCTCAGTCAGACCTAATTCAAAGGTTTGAATTCAAAACTTTAAACTAAACTGAGCTGAGCTGAGCTGAACTGCTGTAATTAGCAAACAGCAGCCCATGCTTCCTGCTTTCTCCCTACTCATTTCACTGGGGAGCTTCCACTGGACTGCAAATGAAGCACATACTGTACATATTTCTCCCCATTTCTAGTCTCATGATTTTGCAGAAGTTCCTTGGCTAGTAAAAATATTAATTTAACTCTTTAGATGTTTATACTGAAATAATCATTAATAACAACTGGTAGCAATTCAGCATCCAAAATTGTAAGGTCAAGGGCTTTTTAAAGGACTTTTTTTGTAGTTTTTATTTTGTTTTGTGTAGGTTATTTGTGTTTTCTGCCTCTGTACATGTTGCCATGACCAAAGTGCGTCTAGGTAAATGTTTTTGTGGAATGGCCAACCAGCACTATCGTCCTGCTAGTGATAAAATCTTTTACATGTAAAATATGAAAATGACATCATTTTTGGATTTGTTCTGTTTCTATTTTCACCCACAGTCTTCATAAATGCACTGGGTTAAAATTTACCTTTGGTGGGCTAAATAATATTATAATAGGAAGTAGCATTTATGATGTGTTTCCTCAGTATTCAGAGTGTTTTCTCATACATTGTCTTACACAAACCTGAAATACTATTCTTCCCTAATGGTTAAGTGTGGTGAGGTTGAGATACAAACCCATTGAGATGGGTTTGAGCTGAAATTCAGAGGAAGGAGGAGGAGATGTACAAGTGTACAAAAATGTGCTTTGTTTGAACCCAATCTATTTTTCAGTTGCAGTAGCGTTTAGAGACTAAAGATGGAGACTGGTTCTGACTTCGAATGTCTGTGTAGAATGATTCTATTCCATTCATTCTGATTGTAGCCCAAAGAATCAGACTTGACCAGCCTCCAAGTATTCAAGGGGAGTGGGGTATAAACAGTGGTGCTCTCTAACTTCTTTCTACCCGCTCCACCCGGCCATGAAAGAGTGACCAAAACAGCAGCAGCAACAAACTGCTTCCTATTCCTTCCCTCCCCATCTTCCCTCCCCACCGAAAAGGAAGGAAAGAAATGGAAACTAGAAAGAGTTGAATGAGAAATCTGAAATCTGTTGTGTTAATGGATAAATTGTTAGAAAGCTGTGGATCTGTGAGTGTTGTGTGACTTCTTACTTCATCTCAGGACTTCTTATTGGCTTTTAGTTCCAATTCCTACATCAAACACTGATGCTTTACTTTCTCTCTGTAGCTTTAACAGTGTGCGTCAAGGAACCCATATTTTGTTTCGAGAGTTCAGCTTTGTCCAAGCTACACCCCATAATAGGGTTTCCTTTCTAAGGACCTTCTGGCGATGTTTCAGGACAGTGGGGAAAAATGGAGGTGAGTATAAACAATTTTCATCTCATCCTTTTTCTCACACTATCTCTAGTGTTATGCCTTGGGCAGAACTGATTACTAGAATTTTGAAATACAGTGTTTTTAATTCATCTGTACATTATCTGAATTTTGTCTGTACATTATCTGAACTTCTTGTATCTGTTATGTTCCTGAGTACATGTTCCTTGTTAAAGTCTTATGCTTCCTGTTGACATTTTCCCCTTTATTAAAAAAAACCAATTTCTAGTACAATGGTGCCCCCTTGACGACGATAATCCATTCCAGGAAAATCGCTGTTAAGCGAAATTGTTGTCAAGTCAAAAATACCCCCATTGGCATGCATTGAAAACTGGTCAATGTGTTCCAATGGGGTAAATACATCATCGTCCAGCAAAGATTGCCCATAGAGAACTGCCGATCAGCTGTTTAAAATCGCTGTCTTCCGAAGCAGGAGTCCAGAAAAAAACCATTTTGCGAAGGGAGGGAAGCCATTTTACGAACGGAAGCCATTTTGCGGAGCAGGAAAAATTGTCGTTTTGCGAACAAACGGTTCGCGAAACAGACTCCTAATCGACATCAAGCGAAAAAACCCCATTGGAACCATCGTTTTGCGATCGCAGTAGCGATTGCAAAAAACTCATCGTGAAGCGATTTTGATGTCATGCGGGGTAAGCGTCTAGCGGGGCACCACTGTATATATATTTTTTCCTGTAGACCTTTATAGGCTACTCTCTAAAAGTTCATGTAAAAGGAGGTTAGTAATTCCCATAGTGAAATTTTCAGGATGCAATATTGAAGATCAAAAGATTTACCGTATTTTTGTATAAAACAAAACTTTTCTCTAAAATCATTAGAGGAAAAATTGAGGGTCGTTTTATACATGGAAGGAGGTGGAGGCAGAGACAAAGGAGCAGCCATGCTTGGCCACTTCTCGTGGCTTTCCTCAATGACTGCTGCCGCCGCCATCCAATCATCTCTTCCAGTTCAACTGCCAGGGCTGACCTCCAGCTCATGTCACCACTTTGTCCCCTGCCCGAAGGGAGCCTGTGAGTGGCGCTGGAGGAGGCGATCTGGCGGTGGCAGCAATAGTCAAGGCAGCACCGAGAGGTGGCCAAGCACGACTGCTCCTTTGCCTCTGGCTCCACCTCCTCCTCCTCCTACTACTGCTGCTGCACTCACGGCTGGATCGCCTCCTCCAGCGCCACTCACGGGCTCCCTTTGGGCAAGGTACAAAGTGGTGACATGAGCTGGAGGAGAGCCCCGGCAGTCACACTGGGGGAGGCGATTGGGCGGCGAAGGCAGCAGTGGCAGGAAGAATGTTCCTCTGCCTCCGGCAAGGGACAAAATTAGGGGGTCACCGTATGCATTGGCGGGTCGTGTACACACAAAAAAACACGGTATCTTGTACTGGGAAATTTATGTGTGGATCTGCCTGCTTTATGACTTGCATAAATAATTACTTGAACACATAAGAGTGCATTAACATAAGCACCCCATGATATCAGATGGGGATGGGGATGATTTACCCAGAATCTGCTCCAGTACCTCTGGGTTTTAAAGAAAAATTGGTATTCAGCAAAATTGCAGATACATAATACAAATATTACAATGAGGCTCCAGTTCTGTGGACTCTATCAGGGAGTATCAAGGGCCACAGGATTTTTTAAAAATCTGCTTGTTTCTGGATGGAGAGAGAGAGAAAGATCTGTTTTCAGAAGGGTAAAGCTGATTTCTTAATCAGTTGTTCTGTACCAACCACCTCTGACTTTTCTGACATAAACCATTTAATGTTAGGTATTCATCTTTTTCTACTGCCTTCTACTTTTTCTTGTATTATTGTGTCCCCCCCCCTTTTTTTGGTGAGGCTAGTCTACTCATGATATGTGCAAAATACAGTAGCCTCAGTTTAGCCATCATAAATCCTAAGGTCCTCATTGTCTGATTTTGATTGAGTTTGCTCTAAAGTTTAGATGTTTTTAATTATTATTATAGTTTGTTTTCAATGTGTAATTTCTTTTATTTTTAGTTTTACTTATTTTAATGTGAGCTTCCTTGAGTCCTCTTACTGGGAGAAAGGCAACCTACAAATAATACATAAATAAATAAATAAACTCTCTGACTCTGATTCCCCTCTACCAAATTTTTCAACAGACCTTTACTATCCCCTCAAAACTGACAGCCTTTTTCTCAGTGGCCACCACCTAACTCATTCTGCTCACACCATCTGATCACCATAGCAGCTCTGGAGTCAGCATCTTGTCATCTATCTGCCAGTCATACTAGCATTTAGCCTGTGCATTCATACTATACAAACCTGTGGCCAATTATATTTCCTGTATGCTTGCACATCTGATTAGTATGGGCAAAATCACCACATGGATGTTCCAGAAAAAGCTGCTGATCCACAGCCTGCAAAGTAGTCCATTTCCCCAGAAACACACAGAGAATGGGGTAGAGGACTGTGCCAGTCCTGGAGCTGGCATTGTTTATCCCTCAGTTTAAATACAGTATTTAAAAAAACTCCCAAAAAGTTAGACAAAAAAGAACACCCACCCTTACCATGTTTGGCCATGCATTTCCCAGTCTCGAGTCTTTTTCAGGATCCCTGTTATGACCGTGAGGTGAGATGCCTGAATTGAAATGATGAGCCTTTCCAGTAATTTCAGGATTTGGGGGAGGGGGGAGGGAACATGCAGCATCTGTGGTGCCGTACCAACGACTTAAGACAACCCAGCACAAAGTGCTTCATGCCCATCTCTAGTCACCATATTAAAGTAGAACATGTAATAATAATTAATACTGCAGCATCTGTTTAGCATACCACTGTTTGGCTTGAGGACTCTCCTTTGCTTAGAAAAAGGACACTCTTTAAGCTAATGTGAAAATTTGGGAGGATGTGGATATGTCGAATGAGAAAGGAGATGTGAAGCATTTCCAAGTATAGTCTGTTGTATCAAATTATGCATTTTCAAAAGTAATTCTTTGTATCCATAAAAAGTATAAATAGAAGGAAAGTTCTGATTTTTCTTTACTCTCTTTTAGCTGTTAAAAGCTTGTTTGTACCGTTTAGTTAATTTGTATGGATTAGTGATCTGCCTATTGTATTTGTAGCAGAATTGTTTCTTCCACCTATTCCTTGCTGTTTCAGACAAGGCTGTTCAGTTCATACTTCAGTTTTTAAAATTACCTTTTAACTGTACTCTCAGAACCACTTCTTCACAGCATGGTCATTTAATTTACCTTTCACCAACAAAAATTTTGATTTTGGAATGTTCTCTTTGGCAAGCAGATTTATGTTTGTGGTGGTAGCATCTTTGAATGAAGTGATAATTTCAGATGTTCTATGGTATATCATAAAAACCATTCAAGGGAAATGCAAACTTCAGTAATGTAAGGCAAAACTTATGGTTGAAAACTTCAAACTATACTCCTGCTGTAATTCTGTGTTTTTCAATAAGATATATGTTTACACACATACCTGAAGAATGCTCTTTTTTGCTTTTAGTGTCTCTAGCTAACCTCAGCTCATTCTCAGCTTTTGCCGTCCTAATGCAACCCCTGCAATTCCTTGTTACTTGTCCATACTCTTCCTTTGTGGCTTGGCCTTCCTTCCACTTCCTATATGTGCCCTTTTTTTGTCTTCAGGTCCTGTCTGAGCTTTTTCTGAAGCCACACCAGCCTTTTTTGCTTTCTTTCACTCTTTTTTTGGAAGATTGGAATTGTTTGTAGTTGTGGATTTAGAATTTCCCATTTTAGAAGCTTCCACCCTTCTTGGACTCCTTTTCTTGTTAGGATCTCCTGCCATGGGACCTTACTTATTCTCCTGAGTTTGCTAAAATTGGCTTTTTAGAAATCCAACATATATGTGTGGCTACACTCTGTTTTGGTTTCCTTTGAAATCAAGAATTCTAGTAGAACGTGGACATTCTCACTGAGAGTTCCCCTTACTGCTGCTTCTCCACCAAGTCGTCTCTATTGGTTAGAATCAGGTCAAGGAAGGCAATGACAAAGCTGGATGAAACTGATGGCGACAGCCTAGTAGAAGACAGATGCTAGATTGCACAAGACATCTGTCTAGTTCGCCCTCTCCACATATACATTTGGGACCCTATTCCATTACATGAAGGAAAGAAATATGTTTGACAGCTATTGGCAGCAGAGGTAATTTGTTATACAGTGGTGCCTCGCTTAACGAGTGCACTGTTTAACGATGAATCCGCATAGCAACGCGTTTTTTGCGATAGCTAATGTGATCGCATTGCGATATTTTAATAGGCAAAACATCACATTGCGATGATCGGTAAGCGTTTCACTTACCGATCTTCGCATTGCGATGTTTTGGGAACAGCTGATTGGCAGTTCCAAAATGGCCGCAGGGTGCAGAAAATGGCCGCCTGCAGCATTACCAGGCGGCGAAAATGGCGGCCGGATAGAGGATTCCCCGCATAGCTTTGAGTTTTTCCCCAATAGGAACGCGTTAAACAGAGTTTAATGTGTTCCTATGGGTTCCCCCCCCGCATAGCGACGAATCCGGATAGCGACGTTAATCCTGGAATGGATTAACGTCGCTATGTGGGGCACCACTGTATAAGTTACTTGCTATAAAGGAACAAATGCTTTCTACAGTTTCCACTAAAAGAATTGGAGTTGGGGAGGCAGTTACGGTAATCTTTTTGAGGACTCCTGGAATTCTGGGTGTTGTAGTTGTAAGAATACTTCTGTACTCTCAACAGAGCATGCAATAACTGGTGAAGTAACACTATGTCTTGAGTTCTTTGCTTTTATATTAGATACAATCCATATTACATAGATATGATTAACAGCTTTTCTTGACCACTCCACTCTGCCAGTGATACCTTATTTGGTTATATCCATGTATAGCAGAAATGATAGTGTCTGCAGAAAAGTGTTGAAAAAACTACTTCTCTTGATTCTTGATATTGCAAGCCTAGTCCAGTGTGGTGTGGTGGACAGAGTGATGGACTGGAATGCAGGAGACCTGG